TGACACCTGTTTTTGCCTGGCGAAAACCTTCAGGTGAGAATTACTCGGTGCTGCCACCTGAGATCTCCTCTCCTTCCCGCCTCGCCTGCGAACGCATGCTAATTTCTTAAACCCCTTTCGGCTCGTATATGTTCAATTTGATTTATATTCTCAGTCGTTTTTGCCTTTCTGGGCACGCAAATTGAATTTCAGAACACGTAGGCCCGCATTCTTTTTCGCGTGATTAGGTAAAAAAATGACAAAAGGTGTGTGCGCCCGCTTCTTAGAACGTACGGGGTCCTCGCAGAAAACATGATCTTTAAATAATCCCCGACTCCCCAGACCACCTCCTCTCCATTGTCTTTTCAAGAATGTGACATCAACGCTCACAAGACTGCCTTTTTCATCGTTATTTAGGGTGCGCACGCACTCGTGCATGTTTTGCGCTTTGACGTGTGTGCAAAAAGTAAAAAATTCACGTGCGTTTCTCTCTCTCCGTTTTAGCTCTCCTGCTGGCCTCCTCTGGCTGCGATTAATAACTTTAATTTCTGCATGGTCATTTTTTGGTGTGTTATTTGAATACAAAAGTCATGGTGGTGTCGTGGCCTGCGGGCGGGCGTAAAAAATGACCCCTCAAAAAGTAAATTTTCGATTGTTGCGTGGACAAAGGGAGGCATTCGGATCTCGAGATGCGATGACGAGATGCGCTAAGAGAAAAAAAGCGGCAGCACATTTGTTATGAGTATTGCGTTCAACGCGAGGCACAAACACAGGCCCTCTCGGCACAAGGATGACTGACTGACAACCGCGGAGAAGACACCTTAAAAGCGTTATCAGCGTGCCAGCTTCCTTAAAAGGAGCGAGTGATTTTGAAACAATGCCTTTGTCTCTGTGAGGAGTTTACAGCAGCTCGGAATTTTGGAGTGGCCTAAATTAGCATGCGGCCTGATGTTAAAATTCCTGGACTTTTCCATCCGACAATATGGCTCTAACAAAGGTCAATGCTTGAAGCTCCATCTTTATATCAAATTATATCTGTTTTCGCAGTTGAAAAATATAAACTTCAACGATTAAATTTGCATGAGTTTTTGAAAACGGGTTTTTTTTTTAATTTAATGAAAAAATTATCATACAAGTTTTTATAATATCTAATGATGGACTTAACTGTAGAACAATGTGAGGTTCCACAAGTCCAGTGAGGAAAAAAATTGATAAGTAAATAATTGTTAATGTTAAAACAAAAAGAATAAGACATATTTATACATTTATTTTATTTATTTATAAACCGTTAGAGTTTATATGCTTTAAATTAATTAATAGTTTAAAAGGTTAATTGTCAATAGAAACAATTTAATGATGGAACGATCCTTCTATAATTAAAATTTATGTGCACTTGAATTCTATTTAGTTTTGTTTTTGTTTTAGTAATGGTTGCAAATGGTTGATCTTCATTGTACCTAATTTAAACGAGTTATAAACAAACTCATTGGTTGTCATTGCATAAATTGCATTATATAATACTATGTAATTAAGTGATTGAATTACAGATATATCCAAAGAAAGAATAATTGGTGAATTATAATAATTCATCAAATACAATTCATAAATAATATGCAAGTCGGAGAAAGATTATGAAACTTGAACTGGACACTGAGAAATAATAAAACATTTTTGGTAGCTCGGTCTAGTTTCAGCATGACAACTTTAAAAAAATCTTTTCATTTTGAAACATTATGGACTCCAGCGTTACAATCTTTTTTCGAAGTTGCAAAAATAAACTTCGATGATAAAACCTGAAAAGGTTTTGTCTTAAAAACTGTGTTTTTTTTTCTTCTTAAAATATAACAAAAAATTAATAACTCAAGTTTTAATTATTAAATATCAAAAAGACTTGACTGGAGAACAACATGAAGTTCCATAAGTCCAGAGCTAGTCAAGAAGAACGTTATGGTTGGCCAGAAACTATTAATTAAAAAAAAGCTAAAATGAAATACCAGATCTCTATTCCGACGATATGGTATTTTTCAAATTTAATTTCTGCTTTATTCTGTTTGTACAAATTGATAAATATAAAATAAAGTAATGGACACAAATTTAATAAACTAGCTAACAATTGTTATTTTACAGATTTCCATTATTCATTTTTGGTTACAATTGATATAAAAATTATTTCAGAAAGCGTAAAACTAAACTGCTTATTATTTCTCTCCACATATTTCAAAGCAGCAAAAAGGTTATTTTCAATTAAGCGCAAAGTTAAGAATTCTGTCTGATAAACGATAATGGTCATATTTAAGGGGTTTAAAAACAATTAAATCTGAATGTCCATGAAACTTTTAGCAAAAGACGGTGCCTCTTGTGCCTTAATGCATTGGCTGATCTGTGCGACTTATATTGCCCACATTTCAAGCTCATCTCCGCCAGCGAAAATGAAAAGGATGAGAGACTGCCGAAATATTTTCATAACAAATTATGTATAAGAAGGCAAGCACGCTGAAAATAAAAATATTTCCGCCGTGAATGGGGGATAAATTTTCACATTAAGCAGACCAGCGTGTGTGTGTATATATGTATATTTTGTCCATGTAAAGACATTGACCTTGGGCTTCTCCTGCTGTCCCGACGAGAGTGCAGCCCGGCCCGGCACACAGAGGGCTTTTTCATCCGAGTTTTACCTTTTAATGATGAACTCTTGGTGGATTTTACGACTGCGCCTATGATAAAACTACAAAGAGCGCTTTAGCAGAAGTATAATCAATCTCTTAAAGGCCGCGCTTTTATTGTTAACATAAAATGAAACTCATTAGTGCCGAGCATGCTTTTAAAAGCCGAGAATGTGTATATTTTTTGTCTTCCCTCAAAAGGCGCCATTCCGCCTCCAACCGCGAGCATACATTTCCATTTTTCAAGAAACGATTCCGCGATAACACATCAACGCGGTAGTAAGAAAAAATGGCGGAGCTTCACTTGAATGCGAAAATTTAAAACTTATAATCGTCGCAGGTGCTCGTTTTTTGCTTTCTCACTCTTCGTCACCCGCGCGGTTTCTGGTGCAGAAAGTGAACATCCTTTTCAGCACCCTGCCGGAAAACAATGGCGCTCCGCACGATAAAAAAATATTTCTACTTTCAGCGATAAAATCGCTCGGAATTTATCTATTTCCCGAACCTCTGTTGTCATATTTTCGTTTGCAGGCGCTGAGAAAAAGTTGCTTGGCTGTCACGGTCTTTTTTCCATAGCACCTTAATCTCCTCATTAACAAACAATTTATATGAAGATGTATAATAGGATTAAAAATGGCCGCCGCGCGCGATGTGTGTGTGGTATGGCGAAAAGAGGATAAAATTGTTTTCAAGCACGTTTATCAAAAAGGCAGAGCTCGCTGCTTTTTCCCCGCGTTGAACATTTAACATAATACATTTTTTTTTACTTGTATAGCTCATAAATTGTGTAATTCGGGCTTCTTGGAAGCACCGTTTTTATTTTGTGCGTCTCGGGAATTTGTAAATAGAATTACACCGAGTGGGGTTGACGAACAAGTTTTGTGATTATGTCAATTCCATTCCTCTCGGCCGGCCGAAAGAACGAAAGAAGTCGTTTTGAAGTAAACTAGTTTCGGAATGGCCGCGGGTTTTAGGGCACCAGTGGACGCTTTACCGCAGGTGAAACTGAAAGTGAAACATATAAGTAGGGAAAAATGTTTTTAAAATTAAGTTTTAATCATAAGAGATACGTTCACATCAGATGAAGATTTATTGATTCAATAATAGTGCTTTAAAGAATAAACACTAATAAATTTAATGCAAATATTAAAAATTGATCTGAAATATTGAGAACAAAGCGGGTGAAAATAAAGCTTCTTAAAATTTATTTTTATTAGATTAAAATATAAACAATTTTATAATTATAAAAATTTAATAAATATCATAAAGACAAATTAAAAATTTATTGAAAAAAATAAATATGATATTTAATTTCTCTTGGCAGGTTAATTTTTAATCGAACCAATTTAATGATTTTCTTATAAAATTTGTGACTACATGCTGAAAAAAAATCGTTCAAAATTTTAAATTTTTATCAAAACATGTAAAAAATTAAAAAGAAAAGTGTTATGCAACCTGCTCCACAAACGTGTATTACTAGGCTGCATAAATAACACACAAAATTAAATTTAATAAAATTCACATATATATGAGCTACTAGTCTGCAAAAGGAAATAATTTAATAGAACTCAAACAATAACAACTCGTATTTCCCACAGCGAATCCAAGAAATTGCTCAAGATGAAAAACCTTTGAATGAAAAAGGTTGAAGTTCTGGAAAAGACCTTTCTGAGAATTTCTCATTGGCCAGAAAAATTAGTGAAAAAAACTGCTTTTACTTGGAATTTGTACCAAAAGTGCCTCCAATCACACGACATTTTGGACACAGATTTTTTTCCCCACTTTCGTTCTCAAGGCGCGAGAGATTCGTTTTGTAACGCTGTAAAGAAAACAGAGAGCCGAGGAAACACTTTTGGCGAGAGGGAACGTGAAAAAAGCCAAACTCATTGTGCGCCAGCATCGCCGCGCGCGGCGTGAGTGTGTGGATAATAATAAATAATAAGAATAACAAAAAGAAGACAACAATTTGATCTCGCTCTCTCGGCGGCAGCATCCTCGTCACGTCGCCGCTGCTGCAGCGCTCTCGACAAAGGCCGGCCGAGGACGCAGCGGCAGCGTGTTTCTATTGTTGTTTAATAATTGGAAGATGAAAGGAGCCTGCGCTCGCTGCTGCTGCTGCTGCTCCAATATTTAGGCCATTAATTTGCTACATGAACCGGCCTAATATCTTTCCACCTGCGCGTCGCCGCCGCGACCCTTTTCCTTTGTTCTGCGCGCTGCTCGGCATTCATCAACTTGATGAAACACTTTTATCGCGGGGAAAATCAGGGCACCTCCATGTCAAAATGCGCAGCTATCTGATCCTGACACAAAAGCAAAAGGGTCGAGATAATACTGCTGCTGACCGACAGATCCATTGCTTCAAAGTGACACCAAAGTATTTTCATAAATTATCAATTTTGATTGATTAGATTAGAGATTGGTAAATTAATTTTCAAAAATTCATAGCTTGCAGTAAATAATCGCGATTCTATTGAATAAAAATGTTCAATTTAGACACGTGCGACGTGAAAAACAAGATATTTTGAAAAAGTTATAGGAGAAGTAAACGCCAGAAGCTCATAACTGTATCTCTTGATTGGCGACGAAGAGCTTTTTTGTAACTAAAATTAAGTAAACATTTAATTTAGCTGATCATAAAAGTGCTTATGAAGAGTTCTTGACAAATATTCGGTTGAGAAAAGAGCGCCATTTTAAATATAAATATATATAAACGCCGGCGATGTTCCATGATTATTGGAAAAATCTCTTGTTTAAAAATAAAAATTGACAAGTTCAAACTATAATTGTATTGCACGGATTTCATCATTTGATATGTTTAGGATAAAACTTTCCATGCCGCGGGAGGAAATTGCCAGTGTAAACTCTGTGGCGAAACTGATATTTCCCAATATCACCTCCTTCAATGAACAAACAGGATCAAGTAACCGAATACGCTAAAATGGAGGAAGATAGAGCTTAGCTATGCAAAACTTATTAATTGTTATATATTTAATTTTAAGTGAGTTATTTTATAAATAAATATAATATTATAAATGTTTTTTTAGTTTCAGAAAAAAAAATATATAACAATCAGACATTGCACATCTCTTGAAATGAAATTTTGCACTATTTGTTCATATGACATATAAAACAAAATAAATAATTTTTTTTTTAAATATGAAACATTTAATTTTTCCTATAAAAAAACAACACATTTAAAAGTACAATGTTAAATTTAATGCAAAAATGTTTGGTTTAATTTTCATTGTGAAATGCAAAATCTTAAAAAATATTAAAGATGAACAACAAAAACCTGTTTCAGAAGTTTGTTTATCTGTGAAGAGTTTTCGGAAGAAGTTTGTACATACAACTTTTAATACCTAATATATTCATCAATTTTCTTAAGATAATTCAACCAAAATTTGTTAAAATAATAGTTTCTTTTTGTATAGGATTTCAGCAATATGCGCTCAATGGAAAGGGAACTATTTTTTAGGGTCTGCTGAACGTGGAATCAGCTTTAGTAGAAACCAGTTGGAATTCCTAAACATGATCCTAGACCATCGCTTTACTCATAAATTTGCCAAAAACAACCTGAGCCGGCACATTTAAATTGATATGCAGTTTATAAAGAATTATATCCTCACGGATCGGATTTAACGAAGACGCGGCGCAGAGGCGACCCTCGGCGCACGGCAGCGATTCAATTTCTCGTCTCTCTCTCTCTCTCTGCGTTTCGTGAAATTTGACGAAATGCTAGATTTATATCTCGGTCCGAAGAAAAGAACTCACTCTCGGCAGAGAGAAAAGACGAGAAAGAAAAATCGGTCCCAGAGTCACCAGCCATCAAACATAAAATACAAGAGTTGAAATGTGTCCTCTGATGAATTTACTTCGCCCAAATAACCAGTTATTTAAATCAGTCTTTGTGGGGAAGACATCAAAACGAATCCAGTGTGCGGCTCGGACTTGTGCATTCCCGCCACGTATCGCCTCTTTTATACTTTTTTAAATCAGAGCAGGCTGCTTTCTTCCAAGAATCATCCGCGGCCCGATCGGCTGTGCTAATTCAATTTCCATCCGCGCCGATTAGCAGCGAGAAGAAAAAATGCTGCCGAATATAAAAATGATCCGAAACGGTAGCTCTCTCGTTTTAACTTGTGTGTTTTATTACACGTGGGCTTTGACAGCCGCCCGAGTGTTGAGAGAGCACACATTATATATTATATGGGCTGTGCCACTACTTAGGCAGAAGCGTATACAATCTGGACGAGGGCAGTTCAACGATCTGAATTGGATTAAAAAGTCAATAAAAGAAAACATTTGAAAGAAGCTTTTTGGTGTAAAGGCGTATAGATAAATAAAAGCCGAGGAGAGCAGAAGCAGTTTCAGCAGCCGCGCTTTTTTTACAACTCGGCTGCCCGCGAGATGCCGTCAATGAATCTCAATTAAAGCTTGTTAATGAGACGCGAGTGGAATTTTCTGTTGTGACTTTGACTTTCTCGCATCTTTCTTTTTCAGGGTTTTTATTACAAAATAGAAATGGGATTCTTGCTCACAGAAATCGGTTAGGTACCCATCGTGTTTACAATTGCGATACTTCTAGTATACTTTTAGTATTCATCACGTCTCGCGGTCTAAAACGCTTATTTTTCGGTCCCGCACGCATACATTTGCAATACTCTAGGTTTACTTTTGACAGCTCGCCTGCTGCGCGACCCTTGCCGGCCGCGCTCTAAAATACATGCGTTTGCATCCCTCCCCCTCCTTTCTTTACAAAACACAATAGTTTGACGAGCAGGTATAAAAACCCTCCCTCATAAGGCCCGTGTTAAACAGGTATACAGTTTTTAAAAAGTAAAGCAAGTGAATAGCAAAAGTATAGCTGAAGTATCGCAAAAGTAAACACGATGCGGATCTAAATTTTTTCTGTGAGTGTAACGAGAGTGAAAACACGTTTCATTTTCAATCATATACCAAAGCTTATGAATATGATCTGGTTTTATTGAAGGAAATTATTTGTTACATGAGTATTTAAAGAAGTATAAATAAAATATATTAAATTTAAAAAAAAAAATAAAGAAAAATATAAGTAATTTTGCAGTTGATTTAATACAAATAAAATCAGTGACTTTTGAGTGATAATTTTACAGAGATACAACGCCTATCTCCGCACTGCCCTCATTTTTTGCAAAAAATATTTTAAATTTTCACCAAAGTCATTTTATTAATAATTAAATAATTACGGAAATAATCAGACAGTTTCGCTCCAACTGATTTGTAATTTTACAATTACTTTATCAACCATTATTGAAGTTATTCCAATTGTTGTTGAATTTTCATTGTTTTTATCCTTCTTAAAGAATCAGTTTATATTTAATTAGAAAAAAAAAACGGAAAAGTTTCTCCAATTCTAAATATTGCGTGTTAGAGATCTTCATTTATTATAATATTCATGTGCATGGAGAATTACTTGAACGTTTCAAAAGAAAAGAATAATAATCACATTTCGTTGCACAAGCGCGGCTTCAAACACGCTGCTGAACATCTGCAACAAGAAGGAGAAGAAATGCGAGGAGTGCTTGTGGCAAAAATGTACAACCATGAATTCTGTACTGACTCGTGCAATCGCGCTTGTCATTATTTATTCCCTCTTTAGTCGTCACTTTTTGCGTGCACAAATCTCGGTTGTGTCCTGCTGGCGGCAGCCAGACAAGCAGTGCTCGCGGTGCTCACCTTTTTTACTCAAGAATAAGAGAATAAAAAAAAAAAACACAGCAGATGAGTCTAAATTTAGAAATAACATCAAATTTGTATTAAAAACATAAATCAAAAAGGGATTGAAAGGAAGCAAAGTAAAAATAAAGAAAATTACCTAAAATTGTTGAGAACCAAGAAAATTAACAGACAACTGATGATGAACTGAGGCTTATATTTATCTGTTTACTCAGCGGGTGACAGAACTTGTTCTTGATAAGTGAAATTAGCACGTCGGATGCAAGTAGTTGAGGGTTTTGTCACAGCACCTCTGGCTGAAAGCGAGTTTTGGCAAATTTTATGCAAATGCGCGGGATCAGCGACTGATAAGTACTCGGGCTTAAAATAGGAGGCTCGTAATCCGCGCAGAGGGCGACCAGTTTCGCCAAATTGCCTCGGCCGAAGCTCTCGGCAAATAATGTATAACGACGGACGCAGTTGGTGATTAATTAGAGGCGGCTGAGAGGGAGAGCTAATTACCCACAGTTCGTTTCTTCGGTTGCTGAATTCGCGGCGTTTGTGGGGTCCGGAAAGGACGACCCGCTGCTCGCGCCACCGGGCCCGCCGACAATAAATTCAATTAATGCAATCAAAATATGGGCGATTAAGGAGCAGTCTAACAGCAGGCATTCCGCTTTAATCTGCCGTAAATATCCTCTCGTTTTGTGCTGGAAAAACTCACACGAGCAGGCATTCTACAAAAAGAGTGATCGTTGGCGCAATTTATTGTGAGCCGCGCGGCAAACTCGTTTCGCCTGCGATAAATAATTTTGTCTAACTTGTGCACCGTGTCTCATTTTCGCTCGCCGAGTATTTTTCCGTCGAATCGCGCCATTTGTGTATTTCTCGAACGCTGCACGTCGTAAATTTTAATAATCGCTTTTATGAGCAGCTGAGATATTTGCAAAGCAAAATTATGCAACGTTGTTAATGCAAGTGTTCATAATGATGATGGGTAAACGCAAACGCTATTAATTTTAAAGCTGGAATTTATAGTTTTTATAAAAAAAAAAATAAAGCATAGATTAAATTTTCTCGCTATACAGAGTTTATGTGCGGTGATTTGAATGACTGCAATTATAATTCAAGTTTTGTTCACGGAAATCTCTGTCTAAAAAACAAAAGATTTCACTTATTATTCAGAGTATGCATTTAGTGGAAATAGCACATTGTTATTATATTTGGAAAAAAATTGGTTAAATACTGACAAGTACCAAGGAACAGTTGATAAAATATTGGCTCAAATAAATAAAACTATCTATTCTTATTACTATTTTCATAATAATACAATAACTAGTGCCAATCGTGTAACACTAATGTTTTTAATGAAACCAAATGATAAAATTATACTTGGAACCGTAACTTTTTTCTGAATTATGATACTTTATATCTTTGATCACAGTTTTTTTCACTGATGATGGCTAAAAAAATTGTAAAACAGGAACCAAATTAGTAAATAAATAGATGCTTTTGCTATAAAAAGTAGAGTAACATTTATTTTATTAATTTATAGACAATTTAAATTTATATTTCATGATAATTTGTTATTTAGAAAGTTTGTTTTAATAAACACAATTTATGATTATAAAAGTAAAATTTTCTTGCAATAACGAATTTTAAAATGTTCTT